ATTTTCCGAGCAACAGACCCACATACACAGAACAGAACGCCGTTTCTAACCCCCGTACCCGTGACCAGTGAAGAAAACCTGCGTCGGCCGGGAGTCGAACCTGGGTCAACTGCTTGGAGGGCAGCTATGCTAACCTTTATATCACAGACGCTTCTCCCACATACACAGAGGATCTTCAGAGGAATCGGGTCTCGAACCTGGACCCCTCCGGTTCCGAAGCCGATACCTCATAATTTGGAAACTGTGGCCCGTGTCCTAAATTTAAACAAAACAAAACATATTCTATAAAATATTTTTATGAGTAACGCAACTGACTTTATTTTGTCTACGTCACCTTCAAATTTAAATGTTGTTCAGAAGGTGTTTCCTTCTTATACACTTTTATTTAACGTGACTTGTTCGATATTTTAACATTTCACTTGATGGCTATAGTGATAAAAAAAATGCAAAAGATGTCGAGACGAAAATACTTTATTTATAAAGATTTAACGCTTTTAAAATTACTTTATGTTTCCCTTTTCTAGTTTAGGAATAAATAAGTGAAATTATTGCCTTATTTCATTCATGCATTGCTTAAAAATTTATATTGTTTGAGTTATTATATTAAAAATGGCACAGCATTTAAAATTGAAATCTAATGATCTCTGGAATCGATTATAAGCTGATAGTAATCCATTTAAAATACTTTTATGTATTCTTCACTTATTCAAAAATAATTATGAGATTGAAAAATTTTAAATAGAAATATTTAGAATAGATGGCAGATAGAAAACGTTTTATTAATCAAGATTTTCGTTAGCATTAATCCACATATATCTAGTTTGTGATATGTAAATTTGAAATAAATGTATAAACTGTGTTATATTTTATCAAGTGTAATAGTTCTTCTATTTCCACACTTTCTCTAAAAGAAGAAGCTAAAGAGGATTCAAAATGTCCATATTTTTCTAGTATTCCACTATTAAGTAATTCATATTTCAACGAACCTGGGTTTTCTACTGTGAATTTAGTATGCAAGTGCTAAATCATTTTTTTTAATAAAAAGTTTCTCTTATTGTGGCTGAAATCATTTACGCTTTAAAAAAATTTAAGGTAATGTAGAAGAAGGCAAGAAATTTAAAATTGTTTCGTTCGTTTTGAAATTAACAATAAAATTTGAAAGCAATCAATTCTCTTCATGCCAATAATTAAATATCTAATACTTATTTTTAACTGATGACATTAGCACAGCATTGGAATGAATAATCATCATGATTCAAACTTATTTCCATTTCAGTTATCAAAATCTCGGTGCATTATAAAATTACATTGCAAATGGATTCTGTGTTAACTCATTGTTTTGTAAAGAACAGGACGATTATGGCAGTGGCCTTGTGGAATTCATTATTTCTTTCATTCTTCAGTTTATCAAGAAATAGAGTGTCCTAAGAGGTTCCCGCTTGCATAACTCCAATTTTCAAGCGAGAAATTTTACTTCTTACTTACATTTTATTAAGAATCTCTCAAAAACTAACGGTCTTAAAAGCTTCATCTATTATGATATGGCCTGTCAGTGAGTTTATGTACAAGACTGGATGCATTTGTAATTTTTTTTATTACAGTTCAAAACTTCTCACAACTTCCTCAAATTTTTATTTAAAAATGTTCGTACATTTGCGAACAAACCCAAAAATATCAGTTATTGATCATTTTCCTACGTCTTTGAAAGGCAATCTACATATGTAATTCCAAATCAGGGAAGTAATTCACGTTTCCCACAAATGACTGAAGTGCTTCGCCATGCCGAAATATAAATTATTCATGAGTGAATTATGACGGCCATTCGAAAGTCATAAAAATACCAAAAGAAATATCCCACGATTGCGAAGAACTTTGAACATACCATATAGCACCACGAATTGCTTAAAAATAGCGCTGTAAAAGACAGATAAAGGAATTATCACATTTATTCTCGAATTAAATCCAACCAGGGAACACCTCAAATATGGGATGAGAAACTCCCATATATGTAAGCAGGGACCCGCTTCCTAAATGGGTACAATAATGGTGTGGGATCGATTTACCTCCTCACCGATAAAGGGTCATCCATAATAGGGGCTATAACGCGGCGGCCATAGTGCCCGAATTAAGATTTAAGGCGGCCAGGTCATTCAGATTATTCCGCATGCCGAGGGCTGGACGGGAGTAGCCCTTTATGGTTATATTCTAGTTAATGAAACAGGCTGTTCAGTAATCGGATATGATTTGACGTTTGTACTTTTTCGTTCTAAATAAAGTTTCTTGCATTATGTAAATATTAAGTAAATATGTAATGTAATAGCACTGAATATTTTAAATTGCAGCTGAAACATGTGTCTGATTTAAAATAACTTTATAAGAGCATTTTTGTCTTCATATACTTGAAGAAATAAGATGTTGTTTATGAAAGTGCGAAGATATTAGAGAACTGAATATAATTAAATATAAGAAAATAATAATATAAGACTTCAAGTAATTGAACAATTCAACTACAATGCTGGTTCTCGGCTAATTTTTCATATGATTTTTGTATTCAGGTTCAATAACTCTATCGAAATCTTATTTCGTCTTGTTTTCAGACTCGAGAATTAATACATTTTATTCGTTAGAAGAAGTTTTAATTGGCATTTCTTTCCCCCCCCCTGAGATAATAATTCTTTTTTTCAGATTTTCCACGCAACTGTTTTACTTGTGAGAATCCAGTTGTTTAGAATATTTTATTAATTGTTTCAGTAATTTCGGTCCATTCCTATCTTTGCGCCTGTGTAGAAGTTGGTACACCATATCACAACAGCAACGACCTCCTTTTTAACAGCATCATATCATTTTACTAAACCAAGTGAAAACCTAACTTCTATCTGGTGGAGAAATATTTTTAACAAAAAGCTTCCAATACTTAAAATCGTCAACTTAGTCTCTTCCTTAATAAGAAATGAAGACTCTATAAAATCTCAATACGAACAAAATAATACATCTGGTGTAGACTCCTCTTCGGATTAAGAAACTTTTTCTTCTTCAACAAAACAAACAAGGTCTCAAACCTCCTTGATCCAGCAAGAATAAATGAACAATTTTTTACTTTTCCACTTCTTTTCCTATAAAGAGACATTTCTAATTTTAATTTTAGCTTACTAATACGTTCTCGTAATCACTTTGTAAATAATAATTTAGTAAGCAATTGCAGAAACAGCCTCAAGTTCTCTTGGGAGACTGCAACTATCAATGTATTATGTGTGTTTTTAGTTATACAAGTTTGTAATATTTTCCTAAGCCTTTCTTTCAATAAAGGTTCACTCAACAGGCAAGGAGCCATCCTGGCTTCATTTTCGGCGGTATACTGTGATGATAAAAGTAGTTTTGGTCAAGGATATAGAGTTTTAAATGGGGGTATTTTGAAACCAAAGGGAGTAAGCTCCTTAATTTTGCAAAATGTTTGAACAAGGTTTTAGCATGAAATCATAATTTGTAGGTCATTTTTTTTTTTACTTTTTTCATAAAGGATTACATATAAAGCAGTAGAATGTTAACATTAGTTTGCGAAGTTCATGACAAGTTCAAATGCCAAGATGTAATTTTACACCACCAATTCTATTATGAACAACAATAAATTTCACATGAAACCACCTTTATATCTTAAAAGTTTTTGATAAGGTTTTGAAAAGGAATTTAATTAGTTGAAAAATTTTATGAAAACTATATCAAAAATGGGCTATTTTTTCTGACACAGGAATTCTGAGTTCCCATTCAATGATTGCATTCATGATTTCAAAGAGTGAATGAAGTAGAATGTTTTCCATAATCGATCGGATTTCCATCTGAAGAAACCAATAGCAGCCCATCGGCAGACGTTGTTCAAAAATTTGCAAGAAAACAGTAAGTGTCTTTGGAAATTAAGAAATATTTGTGAAATTAGCAGACATTTGTGCGACCATTTAATCTGGGAATGAACCATTGAGCTTTTATATTATTGGCTAGGTCAAGCTTTTTAACTCAAGCTTATTTTATATTGTCTTTTTGTCCGGGTAGACAGGCGTGCTTTTATTGGAGCCTTTTTATTTTGTGTAAGTTGATTGTTCAATAATTGTATTCGTTTTAATTGTATAATTTTTTCCTGTTGTTATTTTAATAGAATTGTTTTAGCTGGAAAAAAATTTTTTGACTATTTTTTTTCTGGAAATTTTGCTTAGAGTGATTTTTTAAAGAAAATGAGAGTTGAGTGCACACTGGTACCCTCTGCCGGAAAAACGGAATAAAAGCGAGAACTAAATTGGGCTTGTGTATCTCCTGCATCATAAGCCCCGGGTCTTCAATGCTAAGCAATTATTAATGTTTTTTCCTTACCCTGTGATAGTTATGGACGTTTTACACATATGGTGTTTAAATTGTTTTAAAGAAAATAAAATCTTTCTTTTTAACTTGATTTTTTTGAATCCTTGAATCCCTCTTTTTGTGTGTGTGTGTGTTTTTCAGTGACATTTTGGTTTGGAGTGTGATGTGTTGTTTTCTGTGGGGGTGGGGCTCGCTTTTTTTAGTTTTTCTATGTGAATTTTAAAGTACTTTTGAAATGAAAAAAAATGTTTGTATAAATTCCCCCACAGGGAATTGTATATATTTTTATTTTTCCGCAGCCACACAGTATTGTGATTTTTCATTATTTTGGCTGGGTTCAAATTGTAAACTGATATTTTGTAACTGATAAACGTAATTGCTCAGGATTATTCTGAGATGTATTTAAATTCCACCCCTGTTTTGGGGTGTAGTATGTGCAATAGTTTAGTGTATTGTTGTGTAAGTCATTGTATAAAATGGGCTTCGATATTGTACAATATTTTTGACTGGGCGGTTGTCCCCTTTAATGCCAATGGCAGTCTCTCGCTCTTTTTCTCTTTTACATTAGTATTATTCCCCACTGATCCGCTATGGGCCTTACACCCTTTCGGATAGGCTGGGTCAGTATAGGTTCCTTTCCATAATCTCTCGAGATAACATATGAATGTACCAGAGAATTATTAGGAAAGGTATATAATTTTATCTTTCTGCATATTATAGGTTCTTTTACTATTTTTATTCATGTTCATTTTAGATAAAGTGAATGAACTAGAAATCTAATATTTTATAAAAATCATTTAAATG